TGTCTGTCTGTCTGTGTCTGTCTGTCTGTCTGTCTGTCTGTCTGTCTGTCTGTGTGTGTGTGTCTGTCTGTCTGTCTGTCTGTGTCTGTCTGTCTGTCTGTCTGTCTGTCTGTCTGTCTGTCTGTCTGTGTGTGTGTGTCTGTCTGTCTGTCTGTCTGTCTGTCTGTCTGTCTGTCTGTCTGTCTGTCTGTCTGTCTGTCCTTCCATTTCCCACTTGTTTATTTGAGGACTAAAGTGAGCAGACTTTAGATTTGAGAATATATTCCTGGATACTCAACTTTTGTGTTTTAAACCTAGAGGTGCTCAAAAACTCAGCACAGCTTACAGCAGTAATCTTTTCATCAGACCTATCACGGCCTGTTACAGTTCAGCAGGAGAGTTGTGTAGCAGTGAAACCATGTCTGTAAGGCTCTGGAGAGGTCTGTGCTTCGGACCCAGAGCCTGTTTTATGAACGGCTGTTAAAGGGAAGGTCCTTCTGCAGCCCTGCCTCTGTGCAGATGGTCTGAATTACCTCACTGTGTCTCAGAGGTCCCAGGAGATCCAGGCCTAACCAAGACTTGTGTGAGGGGTTTGTGTGGTCCGAGCGTGTCCTGCGATTCCTCATTCATGGATCTTAACGTTTGATTTGATTGATTTTTCTGTATCTGTTTTACATGTTGCTTCATTCTTCTGTGATCCACGTCGGTTTTCATCTGTGCGGTGTTGAATCAAATGCAAGGTGGACATGTGATCGCGTTACTGCCCTTATTTCAGGTCTGCTGTGGCCTCAGAAGATGGAAACTCCCTCTGAGATGTTATAGTTTAAAGAATGTGAGCATCGGGAGCTCAGCACATGTGCACCACCTGTTCTCTGTGACAGACCCCACCTCACATCACCAAGACCCTCAGCCCAATGTAACCCAATCACATCCTGCAGCGTCCAGCACATGCAGGATCAGAAACACGCTGTATTTTTACCAACTTCATGATGGATATATATATAAATAATACATACAGATACATGTTTAACCGTCTGTATTTGCTCTGTCAGGAGAAAGCTCTTGGTGGTCGCTGAGAGAGACTTATTTTCACGTACGGGCCAGAAAAAACCGTGTTAACAAGCCACAATGCAGCTGACGTTTTCAGAATGCTTCATGTCCCTGCGCACTTGTCAAAGGACTTAACAGTCCCACAGAAGAGTGTCGGGGTGCGGAGAGTCTGCAGCGGTTTGAAGGAGGAAGATCTAATGCTTATAATCTTCCTTGGACTTTCTCTTTTAGATTCTGTTGTGTGTGTCGACTTTTTGTTTGCACTTTTACCTACCTGTATGTTTTTGTGTGTCTCTTACCTGCCTGAGGACAATGGATGCTACAGTATTTAGCTAATGTGCTAATTGTAGCTTTAATGTCGACGCTGTTTGGAGACACATTGATGAAAATGTTCTGTCCTAAATAAAAATACAGCCCCAGAGGAACACCATTTTAACTGTTTTATTGTTTTAATGCATACCTGTTTTTATGGATTTTATGTAATTTCATTGTGAAGCACTTTGGGAGCCTTGAGTGTTGTAAAGGGCTCTATAAACAGAATTGATTGATTGATTTTTGAAAAGCTCTAAGGAGGTAAAGAGAAGGATAGAAGTTCCAGTGTTGCAGTATCCATGCTCTGTGTATGTTGTGGTGGTTTGAGTGTGTGATGAGTAATGAGAACTTCAGAAATGCATTTCCAAAGCAGTAATATTCAGGCACACTCAGAGCAGTGTGTGGTGGTCCTGCAGTCTGAGGGATGGTCTTCTGCAGAGTGCTCAGAGTGAATCCAGGGTCACGGTGGGGGTCCGGTTGTCTCCCTGAGAATGAATCTGCTTCTGAAACTTCAAGGTCAAGCCCATTCTTTGTCTCTGGGTTCGTGTCCCTGTCAGGTTTTAAACGAGGAACAGTCAGACCGGATAAACTCAAGACCTAACACCTTCTACAATAATCATGTTCTACACAGTCTGCGTGGGGCAAAGTAGAGGCAGTATTTGTAGCTATTTATGACTGCATTGTCCCTGTCAAATATGTAGTGTGGTCTGCTCCTGATTGGTCCTTCTCCGGTGTCACATGATCTTGGCGTGTATTCTGCTATAAGAGTATTGCATAGGTACAGATTACAGTCCGGTTGCCAGGTTCAGGATGATCAAACTGTGGTATTTGTTGATTTTAGCAAAGCTCTGCTCAACAAAGAGACCAAAGCGCAGCAACATGAAGTCATTGCTCTATACATTTATGCAACACTTGGAAGAACATAATTATAGGATTAAATGTGATCATATGGTAATCCAGGCCCCAGCAGGAAGCCAGTCCTCAAAACCAAAAACTAACTCTCAGCAGAAACATAAGGTGTAATGGAGAATTGAGCAGGTTCTCCTCAACCAATTTATCTAATTAAAGCAGCAGTATGAGATTTTCATGTCCAGTCATCATTATTGGGCCCTAATCCGTCATCATTAAAGAGCCCTAATCTGTCATAATAATAAACTGCTCTTTTCCAATACTTCTTTAACTGATAACAGTAGTTCAGAGATATTTGAATTTCTAAATTACTTTTCCAGCCTCTAAATCTTGTTATTGTTTTAATTTTTTGATGATTCATATTTTTAAATCTTCTGAGTCCTTTCAAAGAATAAATGTAAATCTGTATATCACGCTAAATGTATCTCAAGGAGCTGGCGTTTCCAATGAGGCACAGCAGCCTTTGTTCACTGCAGTTTGACAGCGCTCTTGACCAACAGATGAAATACATCTGTGCACAAATGGAAATGGCAGATCCAGAGTGAACTGCGGAGGACACATAAAGAGCGGAAACAAGATGTAACAGGCCGAGAGAGCAGGTAATAATTTCAGATGGACCCCAGGGGAATGTGCTCAAACTCTTCTACAGACCAGACTCTCTGCAGGTCCACGCCCCTCTCTTCAGCCCCCTGCACTGTCCTGTACTCTGACCCCCGGCCCTCTGGTGGTCTGCTGCGGATGATGTCAGATTCACTCTTTCACTGACAGGAGTGGGCGATGACATGCACAATTTGGCCTGTGAGTGCTGCGCTGCCTCGGACACGGTGTTACGATTACACACTTGGGTGCAGGTCTGACATGCCTGTGTAGGGACTGTTTACATACAGCTTTCATACAGACTATAGCTCTATCCACCTCTCCTCATAAAAGCGTTCGGAGTGCATCATTTGTGGGTTTCACTTCCTCTTCGAGACCTCCCACACGTGAAGAGGAAGTGGTCTGCTTTCTTGTAGAGGCGGTAGTTTATCACTCTGAAGCAGCATCGTACGGCGGGAAAGGAAAAACAGGCAAAATCATTTTTCTGACGTACTTATCCCACATTTACAGCCAGTTTGGGTTTCATAGTCCCGGCAAAGTGAAACCTCAAGCAGGTTTACAATCACTTAGACGAGGCGGTAGCATGGGAGCAGTAAGGGATTTACCTTCCGCTCTCCTTCAATGCCAAGGAATCCCCAGGAACACACTGGAGATGAGTGATACGATATCCGATACAGAAGGTTTCCGAGGGACGGGGGGACGGGGTCTTCCTGTTTGCAAACAACTGGACACAGGAGCTGCTCTGGAGAGGGTCTTTCAGGACACACTATTATCATGTTATTTCATTTTTGTTTCATTTCTATCTCTTTATTTATCCATTTCTGGGTCAGGACGGAGGCAATCAGAGCTGAAACCAAATCACAATGCCCCAGTCCCTCTGATCCTTCAGCAGGGGGGGGGGTCTGCAGGAAGATGGCTGCTGCTTCAACAAAGATACAGCCTTGGTCTTTCAGCGGGGGCTTCAGGCAAAGTGGGGTCAGGTGTCTTGCCCAGGGACACGTTGATGGATTATTATGTATGGATTAAGTAGGACAATGTATGCTGTCTGTAACGAGTATATTCTGTGTTAATCAGATGTTGATAATCTTACCATTTTATTGATGTTTGTGCATTTAACGACCCAACTTATATCAGTAAGCATTAAACACCTCGGAGTCGTACATTATACAGTTAAAATATAACGCCTAGATCAGCATTTCTCCTCTTCTCTTTTTAAAAAGTCTTATAAAATAGCCTGTGCTGTTGCTTTTGTCGTTCTTCTTCTTGGTTCTCCTCTTCCTCCCATTCCTCAAAGCTTTTGTTATGTCTAAAAATGTTAAAATCCACCTTAAAATCCATGTTATCCGGTGTTATTAGTCGCTACGGGCTACGGGTGGCACGGTGGCTGAGTGGATAGCACTCTCGCCTCTCAGCAAGAAGGTCCTGGGTTCGAATCCCGGTCGGACCAGGGCCTTTCTGAGTGGAGTTTGCATGTTCTCCCTGTGTCTGCGTAGGTTTCCTCCAGGTACTCCGGTTTCCCCTACCACTAAAAATATGTACAATAGTTCTGGCATGTGCCTCCTGTACTGGCCCCGCTCCCGTCTCTGTGTGGAGCAAGAGGATAAATGCCCTAAAAATAACAATTGTAAACCGCTTTGAGACGCCGATGTGCAGTGAAAAGGCGGTATATAAATAAAGATTACTACTACTACTACTACGGCATGTGTCCTGATTGACAGGTTATTTGATCCAGCAACAGTTACTATGGCAACAGCTGTGGGCGGAGTGACATAGAGCATGATTTTAAAGTTACCGGAACTACTTGTGCGTGTGTACGACAATATTTCACTGCAGTTAGCGTTGGAAATCTCACAGACCATGATATAAAACACTTTGAGGTATGTCAATAAGTTTTGGTTGCTTTTCTGTGTTATTTTTGTCATTTATAACCACATATAATCCAATGTTCATCTCATGGCATCTACCACTGCTGCTGCTTTGAGTGGTCTGTCCTCGCTGTGGGAGTGGGAGTCTGTCCTTTCCCCGGGAGGTGTCACTTCCACCGCAAACACTACAGTCCCATATTAGTGAATTATCCAGCCCTGAGGAATTAGGCCTCATAGTTCATTCAGAGGAATCCAGCTCTGACAGGCCTCTCCCCACGGACGAATAACATGGAGTCCTCACTCAACACGGCTCTCCACACTCTCTGCTGCATCCACTGCCTCTGCCCCGGGTCGGGCTGTACCGAGCCGAGGGTCTGAGGCAATCCAACACTTATCCTGCGTGAGGACTCGTCACAAATATGATGAATAGTGTTTGATTTATTTGGCTTTTTATGGAATAGTGTGTTTTTGCATAGCCTAGAGGGCGGCACGGTGGCTGAGTGGATAGCACTCTCGCTAGAAGCAAGAAGGTCCTGGGTTCGAATCCCGGTTGGAACAGGTTCTATCTGAGTGGAGTTTGCATGTTCTCCCAGTGCCTGCGTAGGTTTTCCCCAAGTACTCCGGTTTCCTCTACCACTAAAAACATGCTCACTAGGGTAAATCCTCCAGCTCTGGTCCTGACCAAGCCGAGCATCAACATCTGGAGATGGGTTCCCGAGCGCTGTTACTACGGCGACCACTGCTCCTGACGTAAGCCTTAGCGGCATCAGGATGGGTCAAATGCAGAGGATGAATTAGCCTACGGGGATTAATAAAGTGCACCTTAACCTTTGTAGGAGTTGTCATTGTATCGTTTTTATAGTTGGTCCACAAACCTCCACATACCACATAAGAAGAAGAAGCAGAAGAAGCAGAAACAGAAGGAGGAGGAGGAGGCAAAGAAGTAGAAGAAGGAGAAGCAAAAGGAGAAGTAGAAGAAGGAAGAAGAATGTCCTTATGGCCATAACTTAACTAACCTGCCTGTTGTGTGTTATTAGAAACGTTAATGAATGGCTTATTATATTTATAGTTTGCTATTTTAGTAAACTATATAGATATCAGTTTGTGAATTATTTGTCCAAGGGCAAACTGTCCTGGTATATTCTGATTAGTATTAAAAGCAAATGCATAATACATAAGGCCTGATTCATCCCTAAGTAACACAGAGAAAAGTTTGTGTATGATTATCAACCTCTTCCCATCTGGGTGGAGTGTTTACGTAAAATATTCTTTCATTAATATTCTAGCCAAATGATCCCCTTTCAAAGATCAAAGCAACAAGAATGTATTTGCCATTTGCAGTAAAACCACAATGGAAAAACCGTGCAAGACTCCTCAAAGTGTGCACCAGACAGAGAAGACCAGAGCGCCATCTTTCGGCCTTAACTTAAAATGAAATCCTAAAATAGTCAGGGCTGTTTCATGCACCGTCTCCAGATTCTTCACAAATCAACTCCGAAAAGGGAGGACGGGGTTTGACTGTAAACATTTGGACAGAGAACGAGTGTCCAGAGGCGGCGTGTCCGGTTGTCCGTCTTGTGTGTGCGCAGCAGGAGTCCGAGGCTGTTGATGTGAAATATGGCCCTGCCGTCGCCCGCTCTATAGGAGGCAGCTTCATCTCTCTCTGCAGGAGGCGCAGATTTATGGAGCTGAAACTGAACGCCTGTATATGCACTTTCCCGGACTCACTCGGATCCTCAACGGCAACGCACCAAAGGAGAGCTTATGTTGTATCTCCTTTTTAATACAGTATTGATTTTTCTGTTTTGGAATCAGTAGCATGTATGTCATCAGTAACAATGCCACAGATTTGAACTGACGATTCTCCTGAACTCAAACAGAAAGTCAGATGTTTAAGATTGCTAATTATTCCAGAGTCTGAGGTTAAAGAGGTTAGAAATACTGGAGCAGAGGAGCAGAGGAGCAGGAGCAGGAGCAGAGGAGCAGGAGCAGGAGCAGAGGAGCAGAAGCAGGAGCAGAGGAGCAGGAGCAGAGGAGCAGGAGCAGGAGCAGGAGCAGAGGAGCAGGAGCAGGAGGAGAGGAACAGGAGCAGAGGAGCAGGAGCAGAGGAGCAGGAGCAGAGGAGCAGGAGCAGGAGCAGAGGAGCAGGAGCAGAGGAGCAGGAGCAGAGGAGCAGGAGCAGAGGAGCAGGAGCAGAGGAGCAGGAGCAGAGGAACAGGAGCAGAGGAGCAGGAGCAGAGGAACAGGAGCAGAGGAGCAGGAGCAGGAGCAGAGGAGCAGGAGCAGAGGAGCAGGAGCAGAGGAGCAGGAGCAGGAGCAGAGGCAGAGGAGCAGGAGCAGAGGAGCAGGAGCAGAGGAACAGGAGCAGGAGCAGAGGAGCAGGAGCAGAGGAGCAGGAGCAGGAGCAGAGGAGCAGGAGCAGAGGAGCAGGAGCAGAGGAGCAGGAGCAGAGGAGCAGGAGCAGAGGAGCAGGAGCAGAGGAACAGGAGCAGAGGAGCAGGAGCAGAGGAACAGGTGTAGGAGTTTTTTGTTCCTGGAAACGTGACATGATCTTTCTGTGAATTCCTCATGGTCTGTATTTAGCTCAAACCTGACTTGAAGTTGAAGATCTCAGAGATCTCTCAGAGACCAGAGAGAGAGACCAGAGAGAGACCAGAGAGAGAGACCAGAGAGAGACCAGAGAGAGACCAGAGAGAGAGACCAGAGAGAGACCAGAGAGAGAGACCAGAGAGAGACCAGAGAGAGAGACCAGAGAGAGACCAGAGAGAGAGACCAGAGAGAGACCAGAGAGAGAGACCAGAGAGAGACCAGAAAGAGACCAGAAAGAGACCAGAAAGAGACCAGAGAGAGAGACCAGAGAGAGACCAGAGAGAGAGACCAGAGAGAGACCAGAGAGAGAGACCAGAGAGAGACCAGAGAGAGAGACCAGAGAGAGACCAGAAAGAGACCAGAGAGAGACCAGAAAGAGACCAGAAAGAGACCAGAGAGAGACTACGGAGAGACCAGAGAGAGAGACCAGAGAGAGACCAGAGAGAGAGAGACCAGAGAGAGACCAGAGAGAGACCAGAGAGAGACCAGAAAGAGACCAGAAAGAGACCAGAGAGAGACCAGAGAGAGACACCAGAGAGACCAGAGAGAGACCAGAGAGAGACCGGAGAGAGACCAGAGAGAGACCAGAGAGAGACCAGAGAGAGACCAGAGAGAGAGACCAGAGAGAGACCAGAGAGAGACCAGAGAGAGAGACCAGAGAGAGACCAGAGAGAGACCAGAAAGAGACCAGAAAGAGACCAGAGAGAGACCAGAGAGAGAGACCAGAGAGAGACCAGAGAGAGACCAGAGAGAGAGACCAGAGAGAGACCAGAGAGAGACCAGAGAGAGACCAGAAAGAGACCAGAAAGAGACCAGAGAGAGACCAGAGAGAGACCAGAGAGACCAGAGAGAGACCAGAGAGAGACCGGAGAGAGACCAGAGAGAGACCAGAAAGAGACCAGAGAGAGACCAGAGAGAGAGACCAGAGAGACCAGAGAGAGACCAGAGAGAGACCGGAGAGAGACCAGAGAGAAACCAGAGAAAGACCAGAGAGAGACCAGAGAGAGACCAGAGAGAGACCAGAGAGACCAGAGAGAGACCAGCGAGAGACCAGAGAGAGAGACCAGAGAGAGACCAGAAAGAGAGACCAGAGAGAGACCAGAGAGAGACCAGAGAGAGACTAGAGAGAGACCAGAGAGAGACCAGAGAGAGAGACCAGAGAGAGACCAGAGAGAGACCAGAGAGCCTGTCTGTGTGTCTGTCTCTGCCTGTATGTGTCTGTCTGTGTGTCTGAGCTAATCACAAAAAACAAAACTGGTCAAAATAAAATTGTTTTATTAATTATTCAAGTTTTTCTTTCAAAAGTCCATGTAACTTGGAAGGTATTAGTTCTTGGAGGGGAGAGGAGTGTTGGGGCGGGGCTGGGAGGGCGGTCGAGTGTCAAGTTTCACTCCACAAATTTCAACACTTTGAGTCCCTTCTGTCTTACTTTTAGGCGAAATGGGAGGAACCACAGGATATTTACTGCGAGGAGAACAGGCCAACGCTGGAGGTTCAGGACAGACCCACTTGCTTCTCGGATTGGCTTCTCCCAGATCTTCCGCGGCTTCAGTGGTCCGATGCATCCCCTGTGTTGTGGCTTTGCGATGAAATGGGGGTATTTTTGGTATCTTTGGCATTGCGAAGCTGTGCTGGTCAACTTTGTCCAATGGGAGATTAACGGGAGGTGTTTTTGGCAAGCACCTTGACAGCTCTTGGGAGTTTGTGGAAGGCGTCAGTTGTGAACGTTTTGGAGGGATCCAGATTGTCTTGGGTGCTTCCTGAATGAATTGGGAACAGGCCATAATCACATCTCTACCAGTCACTTCATTTGAGCTTCTGTCAGTCTGTTGATGATCTTCTGTCTCGCTAACTTGCGAAATGGGAGGAATCTTTGGCCAGGTTGACAATTTCACCTCAAATTTGGAATGAGTTACCTCTGGTGGAATCGCCAACTCTTCCATCTTTGTCTCTGTATGTTTTTCAGACGTTTTGGCATAATCGCTCTCCCGAATACTTCTAACTTTCTTGTTCCCTGCCAGTCGCCTCTGCAACTTCTCTCGATCTTCCGGACTCATTAGCAAACTTGTTCCAACATGGTTTGACGGTTTCAATCTGCTTGGAGTTGAAGAAGATTTTTTCTGTGGTATTTCCGCTTCCTTGTGTCCGGTTTGAGCTTCCGTTCCACTGACGCCTTCATGTGATAAGACCAGCTGTTTTTCTTCCATCCTTTTCTCAGTATGAGACCAATACATTTTCTGAGTTTGGATTGGGTACTGCAGATTAGGCTTGTCTGAGTCTCTGTCCTTGTTAAAGATCTCCATATATTGGCGTCTTTCATTTTGAAGGCGAGCTCCAACTTCATGTCCAAGCTGCTGTGTTTCCACTTTCTCCACATGTGCCTTTTTACTGCTTGTGTAATCCGGCTTCTTCATCCTCGTTTCGTTAAGTTTGAGCTGCATATTTGGATGTTTTTCACCGTACTGCGTCAGTGGCGTCGTGCCGGTAGGTCCACTGTAGCTGCGTAGAAGCGGAGGTTCTTGGAATATCTTCTTCTCCATAAAATGCCCGATTTTACGTGGCTCACATACTTTCTCTGTCTGCACAACCTGCTCAGCCTTCTTGGTCTGCGTCAATATCGTCAGTTGCTTTTGATAATACTTTGCCCATGAAAGAAACGCTTCGCATTGTATTCGTGCTGCATGGATTTCTTCGCCCAAGCTTGGTTTCTTGTCCGCTTTCTTATTTTGCATGAATCTTAAATGCTGGTCATCGTACAGCTGCAGCCCATCTGCCTCGCTCTCAAGTTCGCTCTGCTTTTTCCACTCCGGGTCCAAGTCTTTTTTCTCCCATCTATCCTTTCGAAACGAGCCGACGAGATGCTCATACTTGGTCCACACTGTCACGTTGCAATCAAAACCAGTGGTGATGTAATTCTCACGACTTGGGTTACAAGTGATGCTGGTGACGCCTCCCTTGTGGGCATTCCACCTGCTCAGCAAAGGAGGAGGGCATATGTTCACTTTCCATTCTCCAATCTCTTCAAACGGCCCATCGAAATCAAAATTGCGGTTGCCAAGATTTTCAATATTCCACACATGAACAAAGCCGTTGCTGTCTCCAACCATGAGAATTTGGTCATTGGGGTCTGAATCGACGCACATTATTACTGCTTCTTCTTCGTCTACCGCTTTAAACTTTGCAAGCAAGCCTCCTTTAACTGTCAAAGCCCACGCGCTGATAAAGCCTTCGTCTGCGACAATGACAGTAGCTAAACCTGAATGACTATCGCGTGTTTTTAAGAAGTGAAGAATAGGACTTTTGAAGACATCTCTTGCTTCTACCTTGTCGGTTTTCTTCTTCAGCAGGCTCAAAGGTACTGGTCTGCGTTCGTACCGCTTAACAAAATTCACATCTTTCTCTTCTGGCAGTTCGGAGATCTTTGCCACCAAGTTTGCATTCAAAATGTCTTGTATACGTGGGCTTTGGTTGTTGAAGAAGTACAGCACTCGCAAGCTTTCAATGTCCCATACAAGAATGTGTCCATTGCTTGAAACCGTGACGATACAGCCTTCATTCGGATGGATAGCGATAGTTTTGATACCCCCTTTAATAAGCGGGTGTTCAATACATATATGCTTCTTTCCTTCTAGCTCAAGACAGTAGATTACGTTTGACTCTGTCGACGTGACAAAAAGCAGCTTCTCTGTACAAATCAGACCTGATATTGTGGTTGGAACAGCAACCGGCAACACCTCCAGCTCTTGCCCAGTGTTGAAGTTCCAAAAGCGGACTCTGCCGTCATTACAAACGGTTATGAGTTTGCGTTGAGGCCCATTCAACGTCATGGTTGTCGATGCAATTAGCTTGTAGGGGCTAACGTTGAATTTCAAGATGTCTTTCCCTGTGTTTATATCCCATACGATTACGTCTCCTTTCTGACAGACGGAGACGACTTGCTTGAAAATCGTGTGGTAAATCGCTCCACATAAGGGCTTGCGATGAGAAGACATGAAATCTTTAAAGAGTTTTGTGCCTTCGCCGATAAGCACGCCGATTTTTGTGTTTGCCAATATCAACTCGTTGTTCTGGATGGAGTAGTAAACCGCAGAAACAATACTGGCACTTATTGGTTGGTGGCTGATGGTCTGAGTGCAGGTCCGCATTTCTAGACTCCAGACGCATATGGTTTGATCTCTATGAAGGCAAAGAAGGTAATCATCGCCAGGTTTGTTGTGTAAGTAGAGAATAGGGACAATGCGCGATGTCATCTCGGACGTGCAACGTGGCTTGAACATAGACCACGCCCGCAAAACTCCGTCGTCTCCTCCTGTAATCAAATCTTCAGTTTTAGAGCAGTACTCGATGCAAGAGAAGATCTTTTTATGTGACGGATTGGTGTAGTTTATCGGCGTTCTTTCATTATTCGCAGCCACCAGCGCCATTTTCGTTGCCGACTCCCCACAGATCACAACCTCCTTCAGCGCCGGGATGTATTTCATGGACGTGACGATCTCTTGAAACACTTTGATTTTCACCACAGGAAAATCTGGGCATGTCTTTTGCAGCAACGACGTCATGTAGGCGCGCTTGTAGCTGTCATGTTTAGTGCGTGAGAAGGAAGTTGGGTTGAAAAGCGTGTATGTGTGTATGTGGTGGCTAACACAAACAAACACATACCCAACGGAATCGCCAAACGTGAAGATGCTACTCGTGCCGTCGGACCAGTAGTGTAAGGATGTTACTTGACCTGCTTCTGGTATAATGGAGTAGCGCATTGTAAGACCTTCCGAAGACCACTCATAAAACCGGACCTCGCGTTCGTTACTTGCTACCGCCACTTCTTCTGTTTCTTTCAGATAGATCAAATCATTGACCTTAATTCGTCGCTTGTGTTGGAAAGGGAGTGAGTCACTTTGAACAAATATCATTTCGTCCGTATGCTTGTCGAAACGATCCGTCCAAATCTTCAGTTTCGCATCAGAAGTCAATGTCAAATACTCTTCGTCGATGTATTTCCGCGGACCTCTTCTGTTGTTGTTTTTCTCCGGCTTCTCCACCAGCCTCGCCACGATTTTGACGATTTTGTTATGGTGCCCGCCGTCCACTATCTTAATCGGCAAAGGAAACATGTTGTCAAAGGGCCGGTTCTTGGCGGCAAAGTGTTTCCCCAGTTCAAAGTCCAGCAGCTCATTGAAGTCCACGGTTCCATCGCAGTTGGCGTCTATCTGCATGTGCAAGGCTCTCAGCTCCTCCTCGCTGTGTCCTGGATAGAACTGACCCATGGCGCTTATGAACTCCGTCTCGTCCAGATCGCCGCCGCCATCTTTGTCGGCCTCTTTAAAGAATCGCTCCATCTCTCTGATTTTCTCCCTTTTCTCCTGTTTGGAGCTGTAGTGCTCCTCCGGCATCATGGTGTCTCTCTTAATGTTGTCCATTTTGGATGTAGCTCTGCTGCAAGACTGTCTAAATTCAAATGAAGCAGTCCATGGCATTATACGTATTATGATTTAAACATGTTGCTATGGTAATGCACCGCCACAGGTTGTCAGGATACTAGGCACACAAATGCTTACAGTAACACAAGTTTGATTCTCTATTTTGATACAGTTTGACTTATTCGGTGAGCAAATAAAATAAATAATACAAAGATAACACTAACATTTATTATAAAATTATTATAATAAAATATCACAGTACATTAAAATATAAAACAAAAGGAAAATATGAAAATCCCCTAGTTGTATGCACGGCTAAACATAATTGTTTTTAACTGAGATTTGAACATGCATTTTGTTGTATAGTGTAGTTGTATGTTCTGTTATGAGCGACAGTGGCTCAGTTGGGCCTGAAGGTCGTGGGTTCAAGCCCTTCATAAGACCTACTTCATGACTCCCACTGATGGCTGCTGTCGTTGTGTCCTTGGGCAAGACACTTAATCCCACTTTGCCTGAAGCCCCCGCTGGAAGATCAAGACCCCTGTGGACTCAGCACCTGCAGGAGGATCAGTGAGGGGCTGGTGCTCTGACTGCCACCCACCGACCCAGAACTGGATTAAGGGGAAGAAGATGGATGCATGGATGGATGTTATGTTATGATACATGTGACATCGGGCGGCACGGTGGCTGAGTGGATAGCACTCTCGCCTCTCAGCAAGAAGGTTCTGGTTTCGAATCCCGGTTGGACCAGGGCCTTTCTGAGTGGAGTTTGCATGTTCTCCCCGTGTCTGCGTAGGTTTCCTCCGGGTGCTCCGGTTTCCCCTACCACTAAAAATATGTACAATAGGTCTGTGCCTCCTGTACTGGCACACCCACCTCCAAAAAAACAATTGTAAACCGCTTTGAGACTCCGATGTGCAGTGAAAAGGCGGTATATAAATAAAGATTACTTACTACTACTACTACTACATCATAGGTTTGGTTTTCCTTCCAACAGATGTCAGCACAGCCACCCCGAGCACTCCCACTCCTCCCCCTGGCCTCCCGCCTGGAGACCCCCTCAGCCCAGACTCTGATGGACGTCGCACACGGCGCATCTTCACCGAGGACCATGACCTGTTCAGGCAGAAGTGTAAAAGGAAAAGTGTCGGTCAGATTTTACAGATCGTACCTTTTGATTGATGTCTGTGCATTTGAAAGAAAGATATACAAAATTAACATATTCTTTATTAACTCCACAGTGGGGCATTCCAGTGTTGCCAGTTACAGTAGGAATGAGGAACACACAAGAGAAATAACCCATAACTACACTAAAAGAATGACCCAGTTAACTAATGGAAGACCCATAATGTTGAGGTATGTATAAGTTTGGATTACAGAATTTGTTTTGCGACCCATGAACCAAACTAAACATACATTTGTCATTAGTAACCACAAACAATCCAATGTTCATCTCGTGAAATCAGAATTCAAAGACTTTAAACCACTTAGATTATAAAGTGCTGTTATACAATCATCCCCCAACTAATCATTTACTTTTCTGATATGATTGTTCTCCCTTTTCCTTTTATAATCCTGTCTTTGGTGTCCATATATATTCTACTGCTGTTGGTAATGGCTTTAGAACAGGTGGTTTTTACCCTGTCAGTAACATCATCTTCACTAAACTGTATTATTATAGTTTTACTGAAGCGAAAGGTCTGTCCCAGATAGGTGTAATTACATATAATATATACAGTATTTAGGCCGTGGGAAATCTTACAGGCACAATATACCACAGAGAAAGCCTAGTCCGGAGGCGATAAGGCACCTGTACCTTTAAATATACTGTAAATAATAACTGACCCAAATACTGGATGCTTTGACGTAAAGGTTTCAGTAATGTATAGGTTTTTATAACGTATAGGTTTTTATAACGTATAGGTGTGCTCTTAAACCAGGCCACTTATATAAAGTTAACAATATTTCATGGTGAATTAATAGTTTATTAAGAGTTCTGTGGTCAGTGTTACTAAACTAAAGTCTAATCTAAACCTGAATCATTCTTTATAAACAGGTAATTAATGATCAACTGTGATGTATGTGATGCTTTGTATGACACATGTAAAATAAAGAGAATGAAATCACTTTATTATAGAATTTGAAGGAACAGAAAGACAAACATTTACTGAAAGACAGTCCATTCGTGTTTGAGAACAAAGTACATTTTCAGATAATAACATAAATGTACTTTTACTATTCAGCCCACGGTAATTAATGAATAGATTTGTGTTTTTTCAAAGCAGCAAAGAGAGGTCATGTCAATAAGTTACAATACTTACAATACTTCTAAGTACTCTAGACATCTCACAGTAGCTTTTACTATCAACTGCAATCACTGCATTTTTCTTGTCGTTTTCTAAAAGCGTATAAAGTGCAGACATGCAATAACACCTATAGCTTTCTGTGTCCATTTGAATACATTTAAAGACCATAAATCTACACTTGTGCATTTCCTCACTCTACTGCAAGCCCATAGTAAAATATAATCAAACATGAATAATTGTATCGGATTCAGAACCTTGTGAATAACATTGTCAGAAATCTCCCGGAAGTTTCTCAAATGAAAGCTCAGTTTCTAATCTTTTTGTAAAACACAGCCCCAACAATAACACCGATGATACAGATGGTGGCGAGGATGCCGACCGCCACGCCCAGGCCCACAGACGAGCTGCTGGCTTTGGTGTCGTCCACGTGTGCGCTGGTGATCGGGGTGTCAGGCTGGATGACGATCTCTCCGGAGGTGAGCGTGTAAAGGCTGTCTGGGTCGAACTCTTTGACCGCTCTCCTCCTCCTTGCCCCGGCACAGACCTTGAAACTGCTGCAGGTGCTTCTCTCACACAGCCTGGTGATGCAGTGGAGGTAGTAGGTGGAAATATTCTCATTTTCTTGCTCAATGAAACGGAAAGCCGGGAAGAAGAATCTGGCAATCTGGGAATCGCCGTTGTTCACGATCGTGGTGGATTTGTCTTTGGAGCAGGAAAAGAGCAGGTCGAAAGTGCTGGAGTTGGCTGGCAGGGCGGACACAGAGGCGTAGCAGCGATCGAGTAGAACGTGGTACTGGGAAGTCAAGTTGGTGGCTGCAACTTCGGCGTAGACGTTGGTCCGCAGCTCGATGCCTGATGACGGCATCTTGAGGAGAGTGGAGTAAGTGCGGTCGGTGTAGAGATTCAAGTTCAAAGTGCTCAAGAAGGTGCCGTTTTTGTCCCTGATTGCGATGGAAGAGCCGGAGACGTCGATCTGCGTGTTGTTAACCAGGTACTGTAAAGGGTAGGCGCAGGAGTAGTAGTACTTTATCTCTGCGTTGTAGGTGATGGTGCCTTTGCTCAGGTCTAACGAGCGGATGATGCCACTGATGTTCACGTTCTGGATGTTGGAGAAATCTTCAAAGAAGCCAACTCCCGTGGAGCTGGTGTATCGGAAGGTACTCCCACAGGCGTTGGTGGAGTTGAGCGAGAAAACGAAGCGGGCCACAGGCGGAGAGACGCTTTCGTCCAGAGTGGCACGGCAGTCTTGGTTCATCATGTGGTTCATCACCAGGAGAGACTCGTTGTAGCCGGTGTAGACGACCGGACAGAGCTGGATGGCCAGTTTTATGTCTGTGGTGCCGCACTCCACTGAAATATCATCGAGCTTTGGTCTTCTGGCTTCACTTCCACACTGGGCTATTGTGGGAGTGCTGCTCACCAACGAAGGCCACAGCAAAAGTAAAATAAAAGACTTCATGTTGGTTTTGAGCGATGAAAACTCTGCAAAAGGTCTGAGTGTTGAATGCCAGTCCTCAGTGCGCTCAGAGATGGGCTGTGTGAAAGGGTCTTTATAGGGGTGTGGGTCCTCAGGGATTGGACCAAAACAAGGTCAGGGCATCTTGCTGTTTGTGAGCAGCATCATTGTAAAGAGGAGAAAAGGTAGGACCCTGTCCTAAGGGCAACATCTGTAACCAGAAGCCTTTGCTCCTGTAAATACAATGCTATTGTTACTCGGTTGGATCTTTAAAAATATATATTACATGTCCTTTATCCTGCTCCTTTATCAAGGCAGCACTCGGCCTGTATCAGTCCTCCACCCGGTGACCTGTTGGCACCAACCTGTTAGAATGAGTCAGTTTCATCTTCCACATTTACAGAGAATATTCAGGGATCATTTACAGACTTTACTGGACATTGTGTAACTATAACATTATTTTATAACCTACTCTCAATAATCACACTGAAGCTGTTTTAATTCTAGGAACTTATATATTTGTTTGTTGTATAAATGTGAAGCCAGAGTCAGAGCAGTTTGAGATCAGGAAACACAATGATTTGGTGGATTTTATTAATGATATGAAGAGAACTATTTGGATCTCCTCTTTATGGTTATATGGCTTTTCAGTCTGAAGGCGCTGGTTTGATTCTTTTATTCTCCTACACTTTTCTCTGGATGCTCCGGTTTCCCACATACCACTAAAACCTCTACAATAGACTTCTCCCTCAGGGCAGGATTCTCCTAAAAAAAGATATTCTGAAATCTCACCGGGACTTTTACTTTTTTAGTGACGGAAAAACATTGAATTATAATCAGTTGTAATTCATTTATTATGAAATATTAAACTGCTTTAAACTTTCCACTCCGCAGAATCTCCGAGTAGACAACAGAAACAAAATCACAAACCGCAGTGATACACAAGATATAACTACACAAAGCCTGTACATTTGTTGGGAAGGGGTTGGAATTTAGTTTGTGAAAAAACAACAGCATGTCAGAGGTTTACAGCCCGGTCGTCCACAGGATTATTCATTACTGCTCAATGTTCAAACAGCAAACCAATAAAACATACAATTTTATCAATGTCAAAAAATGTGGAAACGTATATCGTGGTTGTTTCGGTTGATACGTAACAGGAACACTTGACTGTTGACGCGGGGCGACAGTGGCTCAGTGTGTAGAGCATTGGCCTTTGAGCCTGAAGGTCATGGGTTCGAGTCCACCACAAGACCTCCTCCACTGATGTCTGCTGTCGTTGTGTCCTTGGGCAAGACACTTAACCCACATTAGAATGAGTCTGGTGTGTGTGTGAATGGTTGGTGGTGGTGGTAATTATGTGAAGAGACTTTGAGAGTCCAAAAAAGCGCTAAATAAAAATGATAATAATAATAATGCATAGGTTTTATATAGCGCTTTATCGGACACTCAAAACAGATTGCATTATTATTATTATTACTATTATTATTATTATTATTAACCGAGTCATTCATAGATTAATGAGTGTGTCTATAATCATTCTCTGTTTATAATAATAATAATAATAATAATAATAGACACACTCATTAATCTCTAAAAATGACTAGATTTATTTTATTGACACTCTTGTTTCCTGCTGGACCGGTGCGGTACCATGAAGGCAGTGTACCATGAAGGCAGTGTACCATGAAGGCAGTTGACCTGGTTCCCATCATATTTGATATCCTGGATTAAAGGAGGCAGCTACGGTGATGTTGTTTTGTTTAGGAAATAGACTTCACACATCAAACAGGTTTAAGAGCAGCAGCAGAGAGAGGGCAGAGAGGTGAGGCTGAGGGTGTGTCTCTGGCCTTGGAGATCACACACACACACACACACACACACACACACACACACACAGCCGTCTGAAAAGAACAAGGTCAAGAGCAACATGTGATATCACAGGCCTTCTCTAGAGAACTACTGTAGGCTCTGAACTAGCAACATTTGTACTTTACTGCAGTTTATTTTTGCACTTTATACTCATGATCTTTTCATATAAAAAGGCTCAGTAGAGGTCACATTTTGGTTGGCAACAAAAACAAGCTCTTAAAGGTGACTACATTGATTCCTTTGATCCTCAGGCCGCCTGTGAAGGGTCTGTAGAGTACAGATGCATTCTGGGTTAGTGTTTTTTTGCAGATGAAAACCTGTCCATAAGTGTCCGTGGTTCAGTACGAAGTGTAAGTTGTAACTCGGCCCTGGATAAAAACATAATGTGTTCATGAAGTTTCCCACACACAGTCGGCTAAAGTCCTGCTCAGTGCGGTCCTGATTTACGACCCGGGTCTGCAGAACTTTCATGTCACACACGACTTCTGCACTTTCATGTTTGGAGAACGGACAACTGCCACCAGCTGTTTGACCCAGGCATGTGTCCAGTTGGTCATGTCATAAAAATGTAGACATAGGACTAGCATACTTTTATATATTTTATATTTAGGAAAACATTTCTGATACAGACTGGAGTCTGAAGTGAAGATAAATCTACTGTTATAAAGCGGCTCGTTCTTATAAATAATAAACATAATAAACGTTACAATCATCGTCCCCGTCGTTTTGGGTCCTCTCTGATTTCTGTCATTAATGACTGTTGTGTCTGTCACCTGCTCCAGAGCCTGAGGTGTAGAGTTTCTCCAGATGTGTCCGACAGCCAGAGCAGCTGCTGCAGTAGCAGCTTTCAGAATGTCAACATGAATGTACGACACGGTTCAGACGGACACAGGATTCATCTCACGCAGTTCAATGTTGAAGCCTAAACCTTTCAAACATAATCCAAGGTGTGTAGTTAATATTTCCTTCCACAAGTTTTTGACTGTTAATTGGTGGAATTTTGACCCACTCCTCCAAACAGAACTGAGGCCACTGAGGTTTTTCCACTGTTCAGAGATGCGCCTTCTCCTTGAGATGTCGTCTTTGACATACTGTTGTGTTTCGTGTGTATCTGTTACACCCATCTGGGACCAAACTTCTTCTTCGCTGATGTCTGGAGATGTTGGCATAAAATATCCACATGATTCTTGTTCATGGCCTCACATTATAGCCATGTGCTAAACAACCCCAGAACATGAAGCTAACTCTATCTCAATAACACACATCTATATTTACACACACATGTTCTCCTCCTGCCACAGTCCTGTGGATGTGAATTAGACGAAGGATCACTCTGGAACAATTCATCAAATCAATAAATTCATGATGTTTTAAATAAAACAAATAAAACATAAGAGTATATTTTTACCTTGTCAAAGGAGAAGCAAAGTAGTGTCAAAGTAGTAGTAGCAGCAGCAGCAGCAGCAGCAGCAGAAGTAGTAGCAGCAGCAGCAGCAGCAGCAGCAGTAGAAGCAGCAGCAGCAGCAGTAGAAGTAGCAGCAGCAGCAGCAGCAGTAAAAGTAGCAGCAGCAGCAGTAGTAGAAGCAGCAGCAGCAGTAGCAGTAGCAGTAGAAGTAGCAGCAGTAGCAGTAGCAGTAGAAGTAGCAGCAGTAGCAGTAGCAGTAGAAGTAGCAGCAGTAGCAGCAGTAGAAGTAGCAGCAGTAGCAGTAGAGGTAGCAGCAGCAGCAGCAGTAGCAGTAGAAGTAGCAACAGCAGCAGTAGCAGTAGAAGTAGAAGTAGCCGCAGCAGCAGCAGCAGCAGCAGTAGGACAGATTGACAACAGAAACACATGGGCCATCAGTCTTCATGATGTGGACCGGTCCGGGCCATAAATGTGATCCATGTCTCCCCAGTGTCCGCTGTCAAAGTACTGTTTGTTTGTACTTTACTATAGGAACATACATGAAGGTGCTGCACTACATGATGTGGGACTGACAGAGACTGACAGAGACTGACAGAGACTGACAGAGACTGACATTGAGACTGACAGAGACTGACAGAGACTGACATTGAGACCGACAGAGACTGACAGAGACGGACATTGGGACTGACAAAGACTGACAGAGACTGACATTGAGACTGACAGAGACTGACATTGGGACTGACATTGAGACTGACAGAGACTGACAGAGACTGACATTGGGACTGACAGAGACTGACAGAGACTGACATTGAGACTGACAGAGACTGACATTGGGACTGACAGAGACTGACATTGAGACTGACAGAGACTGGCAGAGACTGACATTGGGACTGACAGAGACTGACAGAGACTGACATTGAGACTGACAGAGACTGACATTGAGACTGACAGAGACTGGCAGAGACTGACATTGAGACTGACAGAGACTGACATTGGGATTGACAGAGACTGACATTGAGACCGACAGAGACTGACAGAGACGGACATTGGGACTGACAGAGACTGACATTGGGACTGACAGAGACTGACAGAGACTGACATTGAGACTGACAGAGACTGACATTGGGACTGACAGAGACTGACATTGAGACTGACAGAGACATACATTGAGACTGACAGAGACTGACATTGGGACTGACGGACACTGACATTGGGACTGACAGAGACTGACATTGGGACTGACAGAGACTGACATTGGGACTGACAGAGACTGACATTGGGACTGACAGAGACTGACAGAGACTGACATTGGGACTGACAGAGACTGACATTGGGACTGACGGACACTGACATTGGGACTAACAGAGACTGACATTGGGACTGACAGAGACTGACATTGGGACTGACAGAGACTGACATTGGGACTGACAGAGACTGACATTGGGACTGACAGAGACTGACATTGAGACTGACAGAGACTGACATTGAGACTGACAGAGACTGACATTGAGACTGACAGAGACTGACATTGGGACTGACAGAGACTGACATTGGGACTGACAGAGACTGACATTGGGACTGACAGAGACTGACATTGAGACTGACAGAGACTGACAGAGACTGACATTGGGACTGACATTGGGACTGACAGAGACTGACATTGGGACTGACAGAGACTGACATTGGGACTGACAGAGACTGACATTGAGACTGACATTGGGACTGACAG